CTTGTTTGAGTAGAGTGTCTAGACTAACAGTAAATCGCTTCATATTTCGCTTAAGGTGATGAAGGATTGGAAGTAGAATTTTCTAGCAGTCTCGAAATACTACTTACATGCGAAAACTAAGTAACGTAGTCGATTGTTGTGGCAAATATACGTTTGCTTCATCGACAATCCCACCAACACCCCGTTGGTAGTGTTGAGGACGTAAAGTCCATTTATATGATACAACAAGACGTTCAGACACAATGAAGACCTTAACACCCCGTTGGGGGTGTTGATAAGACCGGGGTGAGTTCAAAACTGCAGTCCACCCTAGATACGACAATCCCATCAAAGAATGTGATATGGGGAAAGTCCTGGCCTGCCTTGAAATGCACATCTGCCCTGTGACCCAAGGGCACTCGTGGCAATGTGACGGAGTGGTTAACGTGGCAAGCTACCATTCTGCACTGTCGCAGTTCGACTCCCGCTGGGGGTGTTCATAAGACCGGTGCTAGGTCCAAACTGCAGTCCTCCCTGGATGCGAACAACTTTTGTGAAATTCAATGAGCTCTACTCATATCATTGTGGGAACATGCTACTAACAGTGAATGTGAATTTATCACCTTAAACGAAATAGGCTGAAAAAAATCTCATATAAATTTAGATTTTCCCTCAAGCTCTGCTAACAGCCTCGAAACCTGCTTACTTGATTGCAAAAAACAGATGGACAATCAGGCTTTCTTCTGCCATTTTGATGATGGGACAATCAAATAGGCCTGCTCAGCCTAAATATCCACCATTAATTCTCGTGAAAACTGTTAACCAATAAAGAAAGAACACAAAAATGCTTGCAAAGGTGGCTGGATCCGACGGTCAGGAGTGGACGAACAAGTCGTAGAAACTGGACATGAAAAAGAATTGTCTCAAACTAGTAGGTTTGCTGATTATGGTACGTCTGTGGTTAAAAGAAAAATAAGAGAGTATATTGAAATACGTTGAGTGTGAGCAAAAATAGCGGAAAATTGAGCAGGAACAACTCATGCTTGATGGATGAATTGAAAGAGAGAGAAGGTTTAGTAACTTGACTTACAAGCTCATATCTCATTATCTCAACCATTCTTGTTTACGGACTTACGCAATCTCGGTCAGGGCTTTCATTGAAGTCATAAGGCTTTGATGATCAAAGCCTAACTTTAACCTTTTGATAATTCTGATTTAGGGCCGGTATTGCGTATAGACGCTAACACACACACATACACACATGCAC